AAAAAAAAAAAGATTATCTTTCCTATAGTAATAAGGTAACCGGTGGCTGGGGCCCCTAGATAAGCGTCAAGAAGAGGGCTGGTCACCAGCAAGACCACTGTAGGATTAGGGAGTTGGGACTTTCGGCCCCGACTCCAGACCTCCAGAGAAGGGAGACAGGCTGAAAAGGTTGAGCTGATCACCAGTGGCTGATGATGTGACCATCATGCCTATAAAGTGAAGCCTCCATAAAAACACAAGTGGACAGGGTTTGGAGAGCGTCCAGGTTGTTGAACACATCTACATGTCAGGAGGGTGATTTACCCCAACTCCATGGAGACAGAAACTCCCCCACTTAGGGCTCTTCCAGACGGCCATGTATATCTCCTCACATGGCTGTTCATCTGTGTCCTTTCATTATGCCCTTTACTAATGAACTAGTAAACCTAGATGTAGTGTTTCTGTGAGTTCTGAGAGCCACTCTAACAAATGAATCAAACCCAAGGAAAGGGAGCCCCACGTTACAACAGGTTGGTCAGAAGCACAGGTCACAACCTGCAACGTAGGATTGGCTTCTGAAGTGAGGGCAGTCTCAGGGAACTGGGTCCTCAACCTCCGGGATCTGGCACTAGTCCCAAGTACAGCGTCAGAACTGAACTGAATTAAGAGGGCATTGTTAGAGAGCCGTGTGTTACACAAAATGGACTCTGTAATGACAGGACTACAATAAGCAGTAAAAAAGTATAATGTGCACCCCTCAGTGCCTCCCTACATCTGCCAAACTGAAAAGATGTAACCGAGAATGTAACAGGACCACCCAAACCTGATAACTCCAGACTTGACACTTCACCCAAATAAAAATGGACTCGCCACGTGCTAATCTTAGATGCATTCACTAATCTAAGAGACTCTGCCTACTTCAGGGCATAAGAAGAGTCTCACCAGAGCCACTCTGCCATTTGTCCTGGCACTGTGACCAGAGCACACTGTTCCCAGCCACTCTCCGAAAGATTTACAGACCTTGGTGCCTGAGACTCCACCTGAGCTGCTCCTGTCCTGGCCCTCTGTGCCAGTCCTCAGACCCTTCATCAGACCTCCAGGAATGGATTGGACTGGCTATCAGTTCGGCCTTAGGACATGTGGGGACCCACGAAGGGCTCTTCACCTCCAGAGACTGCACAGGGTGATGGGCTAGCATGAACTGTTCTTGTCCTGGAAACTGACTACTTTGATGTGCTTAACTTTAGGCTAGGCAACCAGGTCTGACAGTGTGGAAAGAATGAAATGCGTCCAAGGTCTTACTCCTCGCTTGCAACAGAAGCTCACAAGATGTCCACTGCAGAATCTGTCAGAGAAGTGCTTGGCGTGCAGGGAACATCCCTCCCACAGCTGTTCACAGAGTACATAAGAGTAGAAAAAACAGTTTGGTTTTACCTCTTTTCTAGAGAAAAGTTTCAGATACAAGATCAACACACAAAGGCGTGAAATAAAATAAGACAGTTTAGGGGGGCAGCAGGTTAAGGCACTGCATTCCCATATGGCCTACTGCGGTTCAAGTCCTGGACCTGGCAGCTTGAAAATCATGCTGGATTAAGGTGTGTGTGTGCTCATGCCCAGAATCTCAGGAGGAGAGTAGAAAAGGAGATTGCAGCATGGCTGCCCCCTTGGGGATGATTTCTCACTTTCCCTCTGTCTCCAGTGAGCATACACACCCTAAGCAAAAAACTTTCTTTTTTTTGAGAGGTTTTTGCTATAGGGCGCATGTGCTCGCCAGACAGACAGAGAGAGACAGAGAGCCAGAAAGCGAAAAATCACCCCCCGGGGTGATGGCCGCACCGCAATCCCTTCTCCTCCATTCTCCTCTCGGGATCTTGGGCACGCACGCACACGCACCTGGCATGAGTTTTAAGCCACTGGGTCCGGGACACGAACCGCAGTCGACTACGTGGGAGTCCAGCGACATAGCCATTACGCTAGCTGCTGGTCCCAAAACCTTTAAAAAAAAAAAAAAAGACTGCGGCTCTTTACCAATCTTGGGACACTGGGTTACAGTCATGCCCAACCATTTCCAAACATTTTTTTCCATGTTATTAATTTTATTTACATTTCATCACTGTCCATCTTTGTGACATGTTTCTGAACTTTTAACCCTGTTAAATGTCCTTTTCCCAAGTAAATTTTCCAATCCCCCCAAAATAATTGTCACCCCATCTTGTGACATATGTATGATGAGAATCTGCAGACAGACCCTAAGCTAACAATTGGCGCCCTCACAGTTTCTTTTTCTTCCTGGATCCCAGAAAAGCACTTGACTACATTCTCCAAGTTACCTAATCCTCTTCCCACAAAACAGCTTGTTAACTGTTTATACCAATCTAAATTCTTAGCAAATAACTGATGCAACCCCCCTCCTCACTTGTGGTATTTGCCTTTAAAAGGTATTCAAAAACTTTAAGACCTCAAAACCAGCTGAATCGGTTTCCCGGGTTGCAGCTCTCACCAGGCCAAATAAATCCTTTAGTTTTATTAAAATCTACACCTTGGTTTTTCTTTTTTTAAGAATTAGTTTTATTGGGAACCAGCAGTTAGTGTAATGGCTATGTCGCTGGACTCCCACGTAGTCGACCACGGTTCGTGTCCCGGACCCGGTGGCTTAAAACTCACGCCGGGCGTGTGTGCATGCGTGCCCAAGATCCCAAGAGGAGAATGGAGGAGCAGGGATTGCGGCGTGACCATCCCCCCTGGGGGGTGATTTCTCACTTTCTGTCTCTATGTCTCTCTCTTTCTGTCTGGCGAGCGCAGGCGCCCTACAGTGAAAAATCTCTCCCAAAAAAAAGAAAAAAAAAAAGAATTAGTTTTATTTAACTTCATTTATTTATTTTAATTTGATCAGAGAGGGACAGAATGAGAGAGAGAGAGAGAGAGAGAAAGTGAGAAAGCAAGCCACCAGGTCCAGGCCTCAAACCACATTGGTCACATGGGAGTCCAGTGCCCCTAAACACCACACTACCTGCTGGCCCCACACCTTGGTATTTTCAAGGGTCAAAGTAGTTCATTGTATTTCTGTATTTCAATCCCAAACAATCAAAAATTGAAATTTAAAAAGCAATACCATTTATCACATGAAAAGACATTAAGACTAAGGTTAACTGTCAAAAGCTATGCAAGGAGGGCCAGCAGGGGGTATAGTGGTTAAGGCACTGAATTCCCACATGGTTTACCATGGTTCGAGTCCCAAACCTGGAGGCTTAAAAATCACTCCAGGGGCATGTGTGTACATGCTCAAAATCCCAGGAAGAGAATGGAGAAGAAGGAACTGCTACATGACCATCCCCCGGGGAGTGATTTCTCACTTTTCCCCTTTCTGTCTATCTCCAGTGAGCTCACATGCCCTATGGGGGAAATAAATTTGTTTTTAAAAAAGTTATGAAAGCCACATAACAGGGATGAGGCAGTTCTGAGGGGGCCAAGAGCCCCCGTCTGGGCACAATGGTTCTGGATCCTGTCTGTGAGACATCCCGGGGGGCTGGGAGAAACCCCTAGCACACACCTGGCTCTAGGGGGAGGAGAGGCTAAAAGGGATGGGTGGCAGCAGAGCAGAATGAAGCTGCCACGGAGAAGACAGGACGAGATTGAGGACTGGACTTAGGCTGGGGGAAGAGGAGGCAAGGGGGTCACAAAGGGACGGGAGGAGAAGTGACCTGTGGAGTGGGAGGGAAGTCTGGGCAATCTCCATTCCTTAATGGGTCCTTCACAGACCCTCAGAAACAGGAAGAATGTGTGTGCCCAAGTTTCTTTCCCTTCTGAATCCTTCTCACAGAACACTTCTCACTGTGACATACCCCAGAAAAGAAGAGTCCCCCAGCTCCACAGCCCTCCACCCACAGGCCTCTACCACTCAAATTCATTTAAAACATGAGCCCCATAGTTCAACAACAAAAATAGATGTAAAGAGGAAACAGCTCCTCTCCAAAGACAACCATAGTGAACAGCTCCCTGAGCCTCCTCCCCCAGGTGGGATGTGGTACAGGAGTGACCATCACAGGTCCTCTGAGCTTCTCTCCTCCTTGGAACATCCCTCCCGGACAGTTGCTCCCTCCTCCATGCCCAAGTCCCTAGCATCTGTCCCCCTCTGCAGGAACTGTTTCAGACACGAGTCCTGGGGACAGAGGACAGTCCCTAGAGAGACTCCAGATGTTTATCTGACATCTGAAGAGACACACAGCGGGTGGAGGCTGCCACTAAACTACTTGAAGCCTCAAAGCCCAAAAGATAAAAAGAGATCCAAGGTTGTCCTGGCCATAGACAGGATCCTAAGGCTGGCGAGTCCCCACAGAAGCTTAGGCTGCAACAGACTTGGCCACTTTGCTGGGCTACACAGAGTGGGACTCTCAGAGCCACAGTGACTGGCTCCCCACCTCCCAGAACAGTGAGGATTTAGCAAGACCTTGTGAGCAGAATACACTGAGAACGTTCTGGAATCTTGCGAAAGACCCTGATTGTCACTTGACAAAACTTTTGCACCAAGCCACCTGCTCTCATAATGGAAATGTCTTGGGAGTATTTAATACACTGGGAAGAAAACGTGCAGGCCAGGATATTTTTAGCAGAGGCCTCCAGGGCTGTCTCCGAATTAGGCAGAGAAGCTGGCAGAGCCGTGAGTCAGCAGCAGAGCCGTGGCCACATCTACTACCGCACACCCAGAACTTCACCTTTTCCATGCCAGCTGCCCCCTAGCTCAGCATGCTGGCTTTCTCACCGCCATCCTCCCCAACTTCTGCTCCTCAGGGTGTCCATGCCATTTCCCATTTCTAACCTGGCTCTTACCCTACACTGTCCTGTCCCCAACCTTGTCTCCACCTGGGTGGTTTCTCCAGCAAAGGGCCTATCGTGAGAACATCCTTATAGGGTGCCAGCAAGTGACTAAGCCTCGGTCTTTGTTAAGGACCAGCCACCTCATCCTGTACCCACCTGGGTAGGTCCCTCCTTGGAGACAGAGATGGCTACCCAGTGCCTCTCACCTGACAGGAGCGGAATTGGCTGACGAGCAGCGTGCACCGCTGTGGGTCCTTCCGCCCATCCAGGCTGTCCAGCTCTGCAGCCACCTGGTTCAGCTCCTCATCAGCGTAGTAGAACTGGGCAAGCAGCTGCGGGTCTGATCTCTGTGGAGTGAGAGTACAGGAGCATGAGTAGGTGGCCGGTCACCCTGCAGGCAGCTGGAGGGGATCCATTAACTGGTGGCTTATTACCAGGATGGAGAGGGGTAACCTTACATCAGGGTTGGGGTCCTCAGCTAGGACCTTCCATTCTGAGCGGTGGCCAGCTCTTCTGCAGACTTTTCATTCAAGAATCTTTTCAATTAAAGCTGAGGCTCAGGTCACTGCTGCTCACTCCTGTTGATTGTCCCAAGTCCCTCTGCATTTCCCTCATGCAGCTGTGCCCACTTCTCAAAAGGCTACCAAAGACTATGGGGAATCCAGACTGGACTCATTTATCTAGGACTCTGAGGTCCTCTAATTCACCATAATAGAAAACCCACAGATGAGCACCTCTGGGAAGAATGGGTCCCAAGGATGAAATCAGCTCTAAGAGTTGTTATTAACAAAATGGAACAAAAATGATAGAGACACCCGCTGAGAGAAGTGGCCTAGAGTGACACGGTGAGACTTTTACTCCACTTACATGAAGAATGACTGACACTGCATCATAAACACTTTACATTCCCTGCCCTCTAGAAATTCCTCAGCCCTCTCAACCCAGTTTCCCTAATGCCAGGAAATGCCAATGCCCTATGGCAAGAAACCCTACATTCAGAGGCTCACCTCCCATCAAATATGTAGGATATTCTGATTCTGGGTCATAACGGGCAGCCATCACACACTGAGCAAAATCCAGACTTCCTGTTCGAGGTTATTGGGCCAACTAGTCCACTGCCCCCTGCCCCTGCCATGTTCCAGCCCCACTAGTGGCTGTTCTATACCGCAGCCGCCCCTGCAGGTTGCTCATGAGGTTCCATCTGCCCTGAGATGCAAATGGATCTGAGTTTTGAGGATTAAAAGAAGCCCAGTGGAAAAGTGTTGAAGCCTTTGAACATGCTTTTATAAAAGGCACTCCTATTTGCTGGCACATGCACACACACACACACACACAGAGCACAAAATTGACACTTGATTCATTCTTCACTCTAAGAATTAGCACATGGTTGTGTTATAACCTATGGTTTATTCAATATAAGAAAACTTCTTGCCATAATTTTTAGTTTCCTTTTGTTTTTCAACTCCCTTCTCAGTCAAGCCTGTTCCTGCCATTCACTCTGGCCACTCCCTCTACATCTCTACATGGTCTTCCCTGTCTAGGGTTGCTTTTCTTAGTCTCGGTCATAGATAGCCCACCATTCCTGGCTCAACAGGTCAACTCAAGATGCTGGTCCAGACCCCTAAGTTAGCAAGAGGAAACCCCAGACAAGGCTGAGCAGACCCAACTAGGGGATCAGGACTGGCCCAGCTTCTGATGGTACCTAGAGCTCCCACTTCTGGTGACCAGGTAGCACAGAGCCATCCATAGCACCTAATTGCCTGGGGTTCCAGTGATTGGCCAAAGGGTGGACATGTGACCCAGGCAGGGCCAATGAGAGGTCTCTCCCAAGTCTTCTCCCAGGAGGCCAGGAAATAAGAACCTGTTCATTCACCCACTCATCCAATAGATTCTGCCTGGATACTCAATCTGCCAGGAGCTGATCTAGATTGAGAACACAGCCAGGAACGAGACAGACCCAGAATTTGTTCTGCCCAGTGGACTGATGTCCTAACAGACACCAGAGGTACAGAGATGAGAGACAGGAACCAGGTGCCTTCCCAGGCCCCACCCCCCTAGCACCATTACTGTGTCCCAACACCTCCTGTCTTCCCTGCTCTTAGGAGCCAAGACGTCCCCTCCACTGGTGCAGCTGACTTCCTGGATTCTTTCCACACCCAGAAGGGTGATGGGGAAAGTGCCTCACTTTGGAACTTGGTTGGAACTCCAGGGAGGGATATGTACCTTTAAAATTTGGCCTCAGGGGGGAACCAGCAGTTAGCGTAATGGCTATGTTGCTGGACTCCCATGTAGTCGACCACGGTTCGCGTCCCAGACCCGGTGGCTTAAAACTCACGCCGGGCACGTGTGCATGCATGCCCAAGATCCCGAGAGGAGAATGGAGGAGAAGGGATTGCAGCGTGACCATCCCCCCTGGGGGGGTGATTTCTAACTTTCTGTCTCTATGTCTCTCTCTGTCTGTCTGGCAAGCGCACGCACCCTATAGCGAAAAAAACCTCTCCAAAAAACCCTAAAATTTGGACTCAGCTTCTTGGGTGGACACCAGCATCCCCTCCTTAACCCTGGGTCTTCCCAATGCACCTTAAACTGGGAGAGAAGAGGAAGAGCCATGGGCAAAACTTTGTTAGCAGTTGACAGAGGTGCTTTCCTGCTACTCCTGCTCCGGGAAGGCACACGGCCCCTTCTCGGGACATGGGGATGAGCAGGCTAACTGTCTGGAAACATGTACCAGATGCTGTGTCAGCAGTGAGACTGGCAACCTCTGTCACCCAGTGAAACTGGCTGCCCCTGTTAACCCAGGTTTGCAGAGCCCACCAGCTCTTCCAGCATCAAACCTGCCGGCTCCCCTTATAACAGTATGCATAACAGGGTGGGCTCACAGGGATGATTTCACAGAAGTCTCTTGTAGAACTGGACTGAAGCCCTCAAAACCCAAATGTACTCAGGAATCCAAACAAGCAGGGCCTTCCCTGCATGTGTTCCTGCAGACCCGACCAGGGCTACCTGACAAGACACCATCTGGCCTAGCAAATGGGCCAGGCACTAGATTTAGGGCAATGGATAACAACACCTCTAGGAAGTTAAGTCTCTGCTCTGAGGAAGAGGGCACAACAAGGGGCCATGCCCAATCTGCCCAGAGAAAAACTCAAGAGTTGTTCTTTGCCCTGGCACTGAAAACCTCACTACATATAAGTAGGCCTCAAGTCAAATACTCACACCAACGGCCCAGGTCAGCTTGGGCTCCCTTGATGCTCAGGCACTGGAGAATAAAGCGCAGCAATGGTGAAGGTGCATGAAAGGCTGAGAGAGACGGTGATGCCAGTGGTCAGGAAGACAAAGCCCTACCTCTCACATGCTCTCATGTTGTTATCTACCCTCTTCTCCCCCATGGATCAAGAAGGAGACTGAGCCACAGGAAGGCTGTACGTGTGATCCTTCAGACCACATACATGCCTTCTCTGTGTTCTGGAGAGAACTACTGTGTGTGTACATGTGAATGTGTGTGTGCATGTGTGTGGGGGGTGCATGTATGTGTGCATGTATGCATCTGTGTACATGACTGTGAGTATGAATGTGTGCCTTGTTTACATACATGAGTGTGTGTACATGCCTGTGTGTGTGAGTGTACTGTGAGTGTGCACATGCATGTGAGTATGTGTGCATCAATGCGTATGCATGTATATATGTGTGTGTGTGTATAAGTGTGAGTGCACATACACTCAGTTTAGGGAGGATGGTGGAAGGTGTGGAGCTAGCTGGTATTCCAAATGTTGCTCCCACCTCTGGAGTCAAGGCCCTCTGTCCTATGCCTACGACTCTTCAGTTAGGGCCCAAGGAGGGCCCACTTTTGCCGTAGACCCTCCTCCTGGTTTTAGGGTAGAAGCTTTGGGGAGGGGGAGAAATCAGCTTGGACAAAAAGACCAGAAATTCTTGCTCTCTAATTCCAATCAGGGTTTACTTTTGTGCTTTCAGGGCCAGATAGGCAACTAAATGGGGAGGAAAGGGAGTGGGGTGGCTCTGCAGAACTGGAAAGGGCATATCCACCCTGTGGAAAGGCGCGCACACACAAAAACAAACAAACAAAAAAACACAAAAAGCAAGGGTGCCCAGCATAGACAAAGCTTGTCTGAGAGCCAGATTCAGCCCTCAAGCTGCCCAAGCACCAGGGAAGTACAGCACAAATGTAATTACCAGGCATCAGTTCCAACATCTTTGTGTAGGAAATTTCCATCCCTTGGGAGGTGCCCTGCCTGGCCCTATCTTAACTTCACAGAGAGAACTTAGTCATAACCAGACTACTCGACTGTAAAGTATAGCTACCCAACACGTGGGTTTCAGATAGAGAAAAGATGCCGCTCAGTAAAGGGGATGCCACCTTACACTTCAGAAGGATCTCACACATTTAGCTCCATACTTGAAGGCAGATGAGACACAGGGCACATGCCATGTCCTGCCTCCCTGGGGAAAGGAGATGTGGGAGGACCCAGCACAGGTGTCTGTAACAGTCACAGCAGCTGTCTTCACAGGTTCCCACCTCCAGGACTGCCCCAATCACTTGGTTGTCTGGTGACCATCCAAGCAAGGTGTCATCCTTGTAGTCTGCAGTCACTCTGATTAGACACTCAGCCAAGCTGCCATTTCCTGTCCCAGCCTTCTGTGGCTGGGCATGGCTGGCCTGTCCCCTCAACGGGTCCTCCACATTGCCATGGTCTTTCCCACCAGGGGTCCAAACGTATAGCTGGCCTTTGGGGGAGGGGCATCCCAAACAATCCAAAGCCAGCTGGTAAACCCCTGAATGGGCTGGGCTCCAATGTTTCCATGACCGTGAATAAATAACATTCTGCAAACTCGGCCTCATGCTTTCCCACGAAGGGCCCCAGCAGGCGCAGCAGACTGCTGACTTGGCCTCAATGGGCAGAGACAAATGCCCTCTGGTTTTACCTTGCTCTGATTTCAGTAAATGAAAGACCTTAAAACCAGATCCACAAATGCATTTGACCATTATCAAAAACACACAAACACACACACAGAGCAGAAGATATTAAGAGAATTCAAGAAGAAAAAACTATGTGTTACTGAAATACAAAAGACCTATGCCATTTCAGAATTTTAGTTAAGCCCTGAGCTAGTTTTCCAGTCCCTTAAGACTGGTATTTCAGAGACAAGAATCCAACACATCCTGCGTGTGTGTCTCCCTGCAGTGCCAGGGGGAGGGTCTTTATTAAATTGTGTCAATCATACAAACCACAGGACCCCAGGCACCGTGTGATACCAAACCTCCAGGCAGGGGTTCTAGGAAATGAATTAACATAACTTACAAAATTCAGTTTATCCTGATTAACAGAAT